GCAGTGTTACCAAATCGAACTAATTTTCGCATCTCCAAAACAACATTTAGATAGGTATTGGCATTGAGAGGATTCAAACGAAAACAGTATGTACCACCTTTTTAAACATTTTGTGAATCACCATTGTTTTTTTTGTACCACCATATTTATTGTCTTTCGTAATTCGTACACCTATTTTTTCTTTGTACCACCATATTCATGTACTATTTTATTGATATGTTTTTATCGTGAATAGCTCTCTTACAACCATTACAAAATCTGAATTGTGTTGTATAATTTTATATTTCTATTCTTTGTTTTCACCACCTCTATTTATATCCTTATCTTTTTTATCACCTTAAAATTTGTTACCATTTCGCTATTCTTTTATGCCACCAATCGGAAGTTAATGTTTGTAATAACTGATTTTGTGTATTTTTCTTATAAAATCTAGATAAATTAATAAAAATGATTAGTTCGTGATTTTTTTTTGTTTTACAAAAGTATTTTTTATGGTTCATAAAAGTAAACTTATTCTCTTCTATTTTCTAAAGTGGAGAACCATTTTTAAGAAAATTCTTATTAATACAGTTCCACTTGGCAAATATCTAAAAGAGATCCATGGTTTGCATCATGATATCAGGTATTTGCTGTTCGTTTATTCCATGAAGTTCAAGTTGTTTGACTTACTCTTTAGCTTAATTATATTTGTGCTTCATGAGATCATGCGCATTGTAATATAGAGCTGAACATCATCAAAGTAAATATAAATAATCATAATATCAAATCTTTCCCCTCAATCTTTGTTCCTACAATTTGGACATTGCATCTTGTATTTCGCATTGACAACGGAATCAATACAATTTGTAGAAACATGTCACAAAAAAAGATATCACAGCATAGTACGTAAAAAAAACCAAAACTCAATATTGACAAAAATATAGTACGTAAGAAAAACCAAAAATTCAATATAGACAAAATCACATATGTTATTCATGCTGAACAAAAGATTGAATTAGTGGATGTGTCAAATAAACAAGGTGTAAATAAATGAGACATTGATAAATCAATATCTTCTCTCAAAGCATGAGCTAGATTCAATTTTTATAATAAAAAGCTAAAAAACACACAATACATACAAGACTCCTGAAATTACAAATCTGTAGTAACTGAAATAGAGGTAACTAGTTCAATATTGATTAAATCACACAAGAGGAACTCAATAAAAATGAATTTGAGTTTCCATTCTCAAAAAACTCTCATTCAAAACAGAAATAAAATATTTGATGCTCGTTCACAAACAAAAACAAAGATTTATCGAGATGAAACTCGTGCAGACAACACAGCAGTACGATCATTGTGCTTATTGCAAAGAGGCTCGACACAAATCGAACAGTGCTCCAAAGGAAACTCATCATCATCCTTGGGTTCAAGGTTCAGATCGTAGGTGATTCCTTTGCCTTTGTCAAGATTCGCCCCTAGCCCCTTAGACATA